TTGGCGTTGATCACTGGCTGATAGTTGACCCATCTTTAACTCGTGGTCAACACAAAATACGCTTGCGCCATGATCACTTAACACCGCACATTCACGAGGGTAAAACAAATTATTAGCGTAGAAGCCTTGTACATCGAAATAGCAGCAAATGTAATCCATTTTTGTTGAATATGAGAATTTCGCTTTTGTCACTTCTATTTATACTCTGCGATGCTTTTCATCAGAAGAGTGAGTGATCGAAGGAGCGGAGGATAATCCTGATAGAGACCGCGCAAATTTTTCAAAAATTCACCGTTGATTCTCAACATGAAATCGTTCCGGTTGCATGGACCTCCAGGTATAATCATTTCACCAAAATTATTCATATACAGGTCAAAAATTTTTACGCAATTGGTTTTTAGAAATTTAACGGTTTCCACAGGAAGTTTATTCCCTGTTATAATTTCTTCTTCTTTAAATGCTTCATCGATACTTTTAATTTCACTTTTAACCAAAGTTGAAAAGATGAAAGCATCTTCAATTGCTCGGCCTGCAACCATACATGCGACAAATTCTTCTGGTCTTAATAAACTCAGAATGAAAATAACTCCACAAAGATACATTTCCAGAGTAGGTAAATCCTTGTTTTGGATGCACAGACGATGTTTGCGTTTAAGCAACATGATCCCACCACTTGTTGACTCGATGGTTAGTTCATCAACAACCTTTTGACACGGAGTGTTGCCTTTAAGCACTTCTGTGATGAAGACACCAAGTTGAATTAATTCCCAACGCTTGAGGTTCACTCCATAACTTGTTGGGAAATCATTGACAAATAAACGTAAATCAACACGACCACAACAAACTCTGTTGTTACCATCTGTGGACCATGAAATGGTCAAACGGAGGTCGTTTATTTTAACAGCTTTCAATGAGTGCCAGTTTAATGTTGACATTATGATTTCAGATACTTTACTGATCTTTTTCTTTTCCTTCATCTCTTTTTATACTTGTCTTTTGCTTAAACTCTTGATATGCTTCACGAAGCTCATTATGAGTTTTTCCACCAGTAACAATTAGTTTTCCGGAAGGATAATATACAACACAAAGGTTTTGCTTCTTCCACACATGAGCGGGATAGATTTCCGGTTCATAAGAAAGGCCAGATAAATTGATTTTACCACGAATATGAGCAAGTGATGTCATATTTACAACTTTAACGAATTTTGCGCTCGGGAAGCGTGACTTTATGAATTTTTTCACATCACTAAATCTTTTAAAACCTGTAGCAATTATTTTACCAGTTTCAAACAGTAATAAACAATTGCTTCCTTCTTTAATTAAATCAGCATTGAACCTTTTAATTCTTGCTGCTAAAGGAATCCTTTTTCCAAGGTCCCACAATGATACTATATTAACAATGCGCATCGAGAATAATATAAAAGTATTCTTTGAATATTAAAACAATAATTAAAGCTAGTATTAAAAGTGATACATAGGCAACAGCATACATCATTGAGCATTATTATTTTGAGATTGGCTATTTATACTTGTTTGAACATCCGCTTTCTCTCATGACATTCAGCCTTAATCAAGTGAAACAAACGGTGATCGACATTACTTGTTTATTCCAGAAGGGAAACATCCGTTCCCCTTCTTCCATCCAGGTTCAGCCTTAATCAAGTGTAAAAAACGGTCAAGTGATCATCATTCATTAATACATGTTTATTCCAGAAGGGAAACATTCGTTCCCCTTCTTCCATCCAGGTTCAGCCTTAATCGCAGGAAACAAGTATAGATCACGTGACAGTTAGTGTAGTGATGAAGAAGCATTCAAGCATTAAGAACAATAGTGACCATAAGATGGTATTCAAGGTCAACCGTTAAATCATTCAAGCGTAAATTCAATAGACCATGAAACTAATCATGCATGAGGGGGGTGGTGGGTAATTCTGTTTCCGGTCTGGGCCTCAGAAGCGTATGAAACGGTACTACTCACATTAATTGGACTGGTTTAAAATTAGCGCCTGGCGCCAAGACATTTACACATGAATTAAACAAGGTTTGAGCAAATTCCTCCTCAATTGCGTATGAGATCCAAGAGACTTGTTGCTTTTCAGGATATTTTTCCGATGGTTTGGCCTCATCAAGTCTTAAAAATTCCGACTGTTTGGGTGAACATGTCATGTGACACAAAAAATTGGCAAAATTGTAGAAACATGATGGACAACGACCCAGCATCCCTCTTGGCAGAGCCAATTGGTCTATTAAAATATCGATTTGTTCCTGATCACAACATAGGGTTGGATTATTCACTACAGAGACGAAGGAGAGAATAAAATATCAAAGGATTTATTCAGGACAATTGAAGTAAAGTCAATTTACCTTGATCAAGATATGGGCAGATCTCGTGAAGCGAGTGTAAAGTAGCCTCGTTGGGGATGAACTGAGGAGCACCATTGTATACACATGGGATTTTGAGAGATAACATAAACTTGTTTTGAATATCATCACACGTTGATCTGAAGATACAATCACAATACACATAATTATTCAATGAGATAAGCAAAAGGTGAAGCACTGTCAAAATTAAATAATTTATCAATGTAGACATGTTGAAGGTTACTGATTATTCAGTTGGGCTCTAAATGTACTTTCTATTGACCAACTTGATATATAAGGAGTTGTAAACAGTTACTTATTGTAAGAAATTCACTAAAACTAGATGTATCAAGGGTGGCATGAAATATTAAGATATGATTCCAATATAGCAGCTTCAAGTGAATACGCATAATGGAAAAAGATATAGTGAAAGAATCGAGTCAACAGATCTAAAAGTGTCAAATTATAAATTAAAAGTGAAGCTGACTCACAAACTATAATAGCATAGACTATCCTCTTTGTTAAAGTATAAAAAAAGTAAGATGAAACTGTGCGTGAAAATTGTTACTAATATTTTGAACTTTTTTAAAAGATAACAATGAAAGATAAAAACTCTGAATAAGTGACATTAAAAGGTAAAGGCTTGACAAAATGGACAAGTTTAGACTAAGGTGAAGTTCAACTGTAGTCATGGATTTGGAGACAAATATTTGGATAAGAATTTAATTACATTTTCAATATACAATGTTGTCAATAATAGGATTTGCAGAATTCAAACACAATTAAATTGATCAAATCGAAGTACAAACAACAACCATTATTTAATTAAAGTTGTTTTGAAGCGCAAAACATCTCATCACAATAACAGGTGCCACAGATGAATTGAGAATAAGAATCACTAAAAAAACTTAATAACAAATATTTCTTGATATGATGACTGTAGATTACAGTCTCTGAAAATTGAATTAGCACAAAGGGTAAACTCATTCTATTGCGAACCACTGTAATTTACAGTGATCAGAACAAAGAACTGGCTTATTTTTTCTTTACATTAGATGTCTGTACTCCAAAAAAGCAAAATTTACGAGGTTTTTGTATAGCTATTTTACCACTCAACCCTAAGAGCAAAACATTTCATCACACTAACAAGTGACACAATTGAAAAGTAATTAAAAAAACTGAATAGCATTCGATGCATGAGCCTTTTCATTGTGAAAATGTAAAAACTGAATTGAAACTTACCATTGTTTAATTAAATTCAGATAGTAATCACAGATGAGAAAGTGAATTATTTTCCCGACAGCAAAATCTTTTGCCAATCTAATCACAATCGGCAATTCAATGGAATGAGAATGAGACTCTAATTCATTTTGATTTAACTGATCACAAACCCACAAGGTATTGAAAGGCTATTAAACAAGTTGAAGCTTTTTTGTATTTATCACAATTTATTGATTCAAAAGTGAGAATGTTTTATTTATTGTTTACATTAGTGTCAACTTTCGGGTCCATTGAAGGTAAAAGATTAACAAAATTGACATATTTTACCGTAAAGACCACGAGGGCCATCAGGTTATTATCGCTGGTAAGGATAAATTGTACCAATGATGTACTTTTTGCCATGCATTTTGCTTCCATCGAGTTAAAATTTTTTACCATGTTTTTGCACTCGTTTATTTATCAGTCTCATAATATGAGTATTACTAGTTTTACGCTCAAAACGCCTTTATTAAACAGTAGTCCATCTTGACAATAAAGTTTCAGTAGTCAGTGTGTAAATTAGTTGATATTAATAAGGGTAGAAGACACCTCAAACTCAGTAAATTGATTGCTGAATATCAACTAGTAATGTGGGTGTTTAAATTTGTTGACTAAATTGATGAGATGATCATGGTAAAATATGATTGTTAGTTCTAAACTAGTTTCTAGTTTATACATGATTTTATTGGCCATTTTTTAAGACATTCAAAGTGTCGATCAGATAAATTTTTTAATTGCTCAAACGGATGAATTGAACAAAAATGAAAAACATTAGGGGCTCATTGTAATTGTCTGGTAAATTGTACATAAACAAGTTGAATAAACTGAGAAGTTAATTTAAACGAAATTGAGTCTTTATAAGGTTCTTTGGTTTGAACATTGTATTTGTTCAATCGTTGTTTCAAACAGTTTACTGGTTGAATTGTGGGAAAATAATTGAAGTGACAAAACAATTATATCGTTTCAATAAAAGCTAAAAAGGGTTTAATTCCAAGTTGAAGCTTAGTTTTTTTTCAAATGGTTAACTGTTGCTATTCTTGATATTGAAATGTTCAACTTACTAGTTTCGATCACTTTTTACATTTCAATTGTTCACCAATCTTATGCAGTAGCTGGTGAATCATCAGTGATGATGAAGCAGATCCTTCATCGATTGACTCAACTAATCCTGACTTTGATGAAGAACAAGCATTTCTCCAGCTTTTCGGAAGCAAATGATGAACCAGATGAAGCAGCAACTTGCGGAGGAACAAGCATTTCTTCAGTGGACTGGTAAGACGGATTCAGATGAAGCAGCGAACTGTGGACGACTCAGAGTCTCGAGGGTTTGAATACGAGGTTCACTATATGATAACAACCGATGCTTAAATCCTCCAAAATTTTCGAATCATCAATCCTTATGCAAGAGAATCTCGAAAAAATCTTAAATCAGTTGCATGGCCTAGTCAATTCATTCTCAAATTGGTTGATGAACTCACCTGACGGACACATAAAGCCGTGGATAAATGGCCATCCACCAAATGACACTTCGAACTCAGTTGCTTTCTTATTGGCCAACTTGGGTTTCGATGTTTGGTTGATTAAAATCTTATTCAACTAATCACACACATCTTGATCCTGAAGCTAGCAAACCGTGTTTATAAAATAAGTAAAATTCAACACCATCAATCCTTCTTTCAGATCCTGAGTTTTGGAATTTCACTTTCTATGAAATTGCAATTTAATATGTTACAGCGACAGTTGAACACATCAAGAAGGTAACTGGATTTGGTGAGTATGCCTCAAGATGCAGAATATGAACGTTTTCAGAAACTTCGATTAACTTTGGATAATTTTGTTAAAATATTTGATGCTTCTTTTGTAGCTGAAAATGAAGTTTTCCTTAAAATTAAATTCCAGTAAATTTTATCATTTTTGCTCAACACGCGTCTCAACCAGATGAATAAGAAAGTTATATCAATAAACTGAACAAAAATGAAAAACATTAGCGACTTATTGTAAATGTCTGTACATTAACAAATTGAATGAACTGAGGGGTTAATTCAAACAAATTTGAGTCTTTATAAGGTTTTTTCGTTTAAACATTTTATTTGTTCAATTGTTGTTTACGAACAGTTTACTGTTTACATTGTGCGGTTGAACAGTTATACTCTTTCAAGGCTGCAAGAATTTAATTCCAAGTCGCAGCTTAGTATTTTTCAAGTTATTGAATTGATAAACAAACTTTTTCTGAACTAATCGGATTCTTTGGAAATAAAGTTCCTTTACAAACTATTCTCTGTAATTTCTGAAACCATATAATTCAATTCAATATCAACACTGCTTATTTCAATGTTGAATTCATAGAGGCAAGATGGAATACAAACCAAATTTACGGTAATAAACAAAGTCGAGGTGAAATCGTTTATTAATCAAAGTAACTGAACAATTTGAGACAAAAAAATTGAAGTTTATCAATTAGTTGAACAACAAAACAAAAAAATTTGAATACTAATTTAAATTTATTATTTTATTTTTGACCCTCCTTGACGAAAGGTGAGTGTGATTCACTTAGCTGAGTCGTTGCATATTCTTTATCAACTTCTTATTCGTTATATTTAGTAATTGATTCATTGAATTTATATTGATTACTGTTTATCAACATTGATACTTCTGCTTTTTCAAAAGGCTCAGTTTGTTTTCGTATAAAATCAGGTTTTTACTTTGAAATGATGTTCAAAATCACGAATCACTTTGATTTTGGTTCCCGTCTTTTCTTGAGTAATGAGTGTTACGATCTTGTTTTTTTCATCGCAAAACAAGGGCTCTTCTTTCAACCAGTTCTTTGAATTTCCATATTCCTTTATAAAATTCATAAATTAACGAAGATCTGTGATCAAGTGAATAAAACTTACCTCATAATTTAATTTAGAGTGCAATGTGAAATGAATCTCTAGTCTAGATGATTCCTTTCATCCTTGTTGATAACCTGTTTTCATGAGAGGCTGATAGAGAAATAAATCAATAAAGTTTGTATGAAAGTTTTTGACTAAAAATTACCTTCATTCAATCTGGTTAAATTATACCAAATTAGCTTAGAACTAATTTGAAACTTTTCTTTGACACCTTCATTCCTATGCTTCGTCATAGCAACTCTACAACCTCTTCATTAAATTAAAGTTGGCAAGAAAGTTATGTTGATTCAATTGAAGTTGGATTAATTTGTTTACAAATGCATTTTAATTGTAAAGAAAAGATTTAATAAAATTCAAAAATGAAAACATTTCTATTAGCATTTTGTTTTCAGAGTTTTTTTTGCAAATTTTTACTTTATAAATCAGTTGCCCAAATCAACCAATTTAACCGAAACTGAATCAACGAGAGATCGGGACTGAAACAGTTTGATGTCCAATGCGCATTTAGAAAATATTATGATGTTGATTAATATTGAAAATATCAAGAAAAATGTGAAGGTTAAGCTTGATTTTGGCTTTTCTGGGCAATCAAAGTGTCTATCATTTTCAATCGTAACATCAACAACAGCAAATTCAATATCGGAATATTTAAATTGACTTCCATTCAAAATGGAATAAGATCTTCGTATTTCTTTCAAAGAAACCTCTGCCAATAATTTGGTTAAACTTTGATCTGCATTGCTGAACAGCAAACACCTCAAACCATTTTCATTTTCATCTGGTAATGAATCGCCATCAGCAATTCCAAGGCATAAATAATGTTCAGTTTTACAAGTTATTACGTAACTGAAAGATGATAAGTTTCGATGAAATAATGAGATTTATTTTTACAATCAATATTAACTGACCTTAGATTGGCTTTAGAAGCTTGAAGACGTAAACATTCATCGATAGTCGATGTATAAATTTGACCAGATGCAGTTGATTTAATGTTGAATTTATGTGAAGCTCCTTTCTTAGTTTCTATGCGAAAAACATTTCATTAATTGATCAAATCAATGATCTGATTTCAAGAAACTTACCAAAGTAGGCAACAAATGAATCGACAATTTCAACCTTTGCCACCATATGTGAGTTTAAAAAGTTCATTTTTATCCAATTTATTCTTAAAAATGACACATTCAGTTTATCAACAAGCAAACTTCGGATTGCATCTTTGATATGATGGATATCGGTATGCAATTTGTGAATTGCGTCTGACATCAAATGATCTGTTTATTGTAATGAAAAATATACTCTTATTAGTGGCTAAAAAATAGTGATTAAATATAAAATTTTTACTTAATAATGAAATCTCTAAATTGAGAATAACTTTATCTTTTCTGTCTTTGAAACATTGATGATATGAATTGATCAAGTGATGAAACTCGTCTAAATAATCCGAAGTTTCAACCAAACATATCACTCTGACTTCAACGAGTTTGAAATTGGACGAGATCTAATAGGAAAAAGGACATTTTGATTTTGCAATTCATTTCAATTTGAATCTTATCGTACATCATTTGGGGCAGCTTTTGAATAAAGATCCATTTGAACACAGAAATCTTCGAGTCTGAAAATCTCGCCTTAAGTTGAGAAAATTTTTTTACAAAAACTTTTTCTTGATTCTGAATAAAACGAGACTTACGGCATAATATGACTCTGAATAGGTTTTTACTGCCAAATCATACTGACCATTACCAATTGTTACATTGTATTCAGCCTCAACCCTTAACTTCATACTGTATGCGGCAACCTAATTAATGGTTATAAAAAAATAATGCTTTTGTGGGTTGAATTGATGAATGAACTTTTGCTGAACTCACCAGATTCCTTGGTAAATAAAGTTCCTTTACAAACTCTTTTCTGTAACTTTCTGAAACTAAATAATTTAATTCATTATCAACACTGCTTGATTCAATGGTGCATTCATTGAGACCAGATGGAATGTATTTCAAACCAAATTTACGGTCATAAACAAATTCGAGGTGAAATCGTTTATTAATGATCTCGATCGCAGTAACTGAATCCAATGATGTTATAGCAAGCTGTTGACAATTTGAAAGTAAAAATATGAAACTTTATCAATCAGTTAAATATCAAAACAAAAAATTTTAAACACTAATTTGAATTCAAATTTGAAACAATTTTTTTATTTCTGACGAAAGGTGATCGTAATTCACTTACCTGAGTTGTTTCATATTCTCTATCAACTTCTGATTCATTATATTTAGTAATTGATTCATTGAATTTGTATTGATTACTTTTTGTCAACATTGATACTTCTGCTTTTTCAAAAGGCTCAGTTTGTTTTATGTATAAAATCAGGTTTACAGATTCATTTCTTTGATCAACAAGAAGACGGTTTTTACTATCACGTATCTTAATGTATTTAATCCGACCGTAATCTGCAGTTTAGGGAAAGAATTATTATTTCACCAAATTTTTTTTCTTAAACAAACCTCGAAAACCAGGCTTCAGATACAAAGGACCGCAAGGATAAGTTACCCTTTGTGGCCAATCCCAATGTTCACTATACACCTTGTTTACACCAGTTTCACACAATAGCATACGATAAGGTCCCAACAGCAGTGTGGCTTTCACAATCTGAGTTATATCTGAAGTTAATCCCGTCAAACTTTTATCCAACAAATCAGTATTTCGTCCGCACTCATTTTCTAATCAGTTTAATAATTATATTACAAACAATAATTGTTATTTTTCATTAAATGCGCTAAATTGTTTGGTTACTCACGAATACAGATCAATGAAATGTTTTTCCTTTTAAAATCGCGAAACACTTTTATTTCAACTCTTTCATGTTCTTCATTTATTAATGTAACTATACTGTTTTTTTCATCACCGAATATCGACTCTTCTATCAACCAATTCATTGAAATTCCATATTCCTTTATAGAAATAATCATTTTGTAAATAATTCAAGTCAGTAATCAAGTGAATAAAACTTACCTCATATTTTAAATTTCCTTTCAATAAAAAATTTGTTCCCAATCGAGATAATTCCTTGTAACCTTGCTGATAACCTGTTTTCATGAGAGATTAACGGACAAACGAATCAATCTAATATATTAATGAAAGTTTTTGACTAAAATTACCTTCATTCAATCTGTTTGAATTATAATATATCATAAATATCAACACAAAGTTTTTACTTGGGAGCATTTTTCACGTAAAGTTTCAATTCAAAACAATTGATTTATTGACACTTTTGGTTCTAATCTTAAAAAATAAAACGTAATGAACTAATTTGTATCAACTCACAACTTATTGTCAGAATATGTAACTTTTCTTTATTACGCCTTCAATTCTCATGCTCCACCATGCAGTTATCTCTCGTCTGAATGCATAAAAAAGCTCCATCTAACGTTAGTCATAATTATAATAGTCTTAATTTTAGTGCAAAATGAAAAAAACAAGTTCATCCTCAAAGGGAATAATATGAGCTAGCACGAGCAGAGCGAGATAACACCACTAATATCCTCTCTTTTCAACAACAAATTTGTTTACATTTATTTTTCGTCTCTTTATTTTCTTCACGATCACGTTTTTTCAATGCCAAATGTCAGCCTTCTATCAACCAATTTCTTTAATTCAAACAATATTGAATCGAACCATAAAATTAATCAATTTGTAAGTAAAAAAGTCTGTTGATCAATTGAATGAAACTTATCCAATAATTTAACTGTCCTTCAAATAAGTACACTGAAATACGGTAAATTGAACCTAATCCAGCCATTACCTTGTAAAATTGTTGATAGCCATGATTTTAACCCTTGGTCCAGCTTTAATCTATCGTTTTGATACATACGCATTTAAATGGGTAATTTTGTTAATCCATGATAAGTTTTAAGACCACCAAGAAACTGTTTATTGGTTAAGTTTTAAAGGTTCAGATTCGAAGCTCCAAACTTAGTGTTTTTTCAATCAAAAAGTCTTTCCATTGTCCATTTTGATATGAACGCTTTTATTTTCATTGTTTTTTACATTCCAATTTTACATAATTTCAGTGAATTGACCGTCGATGAAGCAGTTTCTGTATCAGTTGATTCATCTAATCCGACTCTTGATGAAGAGCAAGCATTAATTCATTTCATTGGAAGCAAAGACCCAGATGAAGCAGCGACTTGTGGACAACTCATTGAGTCTCGAGGGTTTGAATACGAGGTTCATTATGTGATAACTGCCGATGGTTATTTCCTTCAAAATTTTATTATCAATCGTTATGAAACTGTTTATTGGTTAAGTTTTACAAGTTTTATAAGAGTATAAGTTCAATTTTGTCTTTAAAGTAAAGAGTAAGGGACTAGTGCCTCGACTGCATAAGATGAGACCGAGGTCTTACTTTGAACTCGATTTTTTCAAAAATTATCGATCAGATAAATTTTTTGATTCCTCAAACAGATGAATTGAACAAAAATAAAAAACATTAGGGACTTATAATATTGTAAACGTCTGGTACACAAACAAGTTGAATAAACTGAGAAGTTATTTTAAATAAAATTGAGTCTTTATAAGGTTCTTTGGTTTGCTCATTGTATTTGTTCAATCGTTGCAAACAGTTTACTGTTTACATTATGCGAAAATAGTTGAAGTGACACAAACAGTTATACTCTTTCAATAAAAGCTCAAAAAGGGTTTAATTCCAAGTCGCAGCTTAGTATTTTTCAAGTTGTTAACTATTGCGAATCTTGTCATTGAAATGTTAAACTTATTAGTTTTAATCACTTTTTACATTTCAATTGTTCACCAGTCTTATGGACTAACTGATGATGAAGCAGATACTTCATCGATTGACTCAACTAATCCTGACTTTGCTGAAGAACAAGCATTTCTTCAGCTTTTCGGAAGCAAAGACCCAGATGAAGCAGCAACTTGTGGGGAACTCATTGAGTCTCGAGGGTTTGAATACGAGGTTCATTATGTGGTAACAGCCGATGGTTATATCCTTCAAAATTTCCGCATCATCAATCGTTATGCAAGAGAATCTGGAAAGCATCTTAAACCCGTCTTACTACTGCACGGCCTAACAAATTCATGTTCAAATTGGTTGATGAACTCACCAGGTGGACACATAAAGCCATGGATAAATGGCCATCCACCAAATGACACTTCGAACTCAGTTGCTTTCTTATTGGCCAACTTGGGTTTCGATGTTTGGTTGATTAATGTTCGAGGAACATCCTATTCAACTAATCACACACATATTGATCCTAAAGGTAACAATCCGTGTTTATCAAATTATTTCAATACAACACCATCAATCTTTCTTCTCAGATCCTGAGTTTTGGAATTTCACTTTCTATGAAATAGCCATTTACGATGTTACAGCAACAGTTGAACACATCAAGAAGGTAACTAGATTTGGTAAGTATACCTCAGAATGCAGTAAATGAACGTCTTCAGAAACTTTCGATTAACTTGGGATAGTTTTATAAAATATTTTATGCTTCTTTTGTGTAGCTGAGAATCCAATTTTCATGAAAATTAAGTTCCAGTAAATCTTACCATTTTTGCTTTGATTTTGGTGAGTTTTACAAGCATTCAAACAGTATTTTTAAACAGTTTAAACTGGATTCCGAAAATTTCTGTCCTTTTGAGTGGAATAATGTTTCATCAGTTGATTTCTTCAATTTTAGATAAGATAATAATTATCGGTCATTCACAAGGAACCATCCAAATCATTGTCCAGATCTCAGTGATGCCAGGGTTTCAAGAAAACTATGAAGTTATTATTCTTGCTGCACCAGTTGCATTCCTTGGTGATGTTGGCGGCTTTTATGGTGCGATGTTCAACAATTTTGTCATACGTTACCTGATGGGTCTGGACAATGGACCTTCACCATCTTCTTTGGCTACAACTTATAGTGCAATCACTGTTTTTTGTCGCAACAAAATGGCACTTCCATTATGTGAAATGTATCTGCAATCATTTTGATGACTACAATCCAAAGGAACAAAATATTTCAAGAACCAGTGTATACTTGAGTCAACATGATCGAAGCTCCAACAAGAATTTAGTCCATTTATACCAATCTGTTGAAAGAGATCACCTGAGTTACTTTGATCATGGAAAAGACGAAAATATCAATCTATACGGATCTGCTGAGCCTCCTGAGTTTCCATATTACAATATTGATCCAGAAAAATTGGTATTAATAAGTGCATTAAATGATAACACGGCCGATCAAAAAGACGTTCAAAAGTTTAGGAATTCACTTTGTGGTAAGAATCACGAAATTTGACCGGATAAGGCAATGAATAATCAAACCTTTTCATTTCATCCACAGACAGGCCTTGTGCTGATCACATAATAACAGATCCTTCATTTAATCATCTAGATTTTGTGCAGTCGACCCAAGCATACAAATATTTTGGTAGCGTGCTGGTTGAACTAATTGAACATTGTGGCGGCAGCATTTAATCTATAAACTCTGAACTCAATCATTAAAACTCTTGAATCTATCAAGTCAGAAATAAAGCGACTGAAATTATTTCCATAAAGATTTTTGGTTAGACAAGTAAAGCATCAGTTTTTCATAGCTATCTTGAGTGACACTTGGAATTGATCGATCAGAAAGGATAATAGATTACTCATCTCAATGAAGATATCTTACAATTGATCAATGCCAAAACAATATCCATTAAGATACCTTTTCCTATCAAACCGCTATGTGAAATTAGTTGAATTTGAAAGTAAGTAGGTTTTTCAATATTTACAAAAAATTCATTTCATTTGAAAGTGGTTCAATATTGCGGTCATCATTAAGACGAAGACATAACCAGAAATAAACTCTAGAATTTTATTTTATTTGGATTATTGTTTTATAAACAAAATAAAAGTCCAAGTTCAAGATTTTGAAACAAACAGATTTCACTATCATAGCTATATCAACTTTGAGTAAAATTTCCAGTCATTTAAATGATTGCAATGCTATATCCAAACGTTTACGGTGCAGCGAAAGAATAACTGGAATTTATTTTGTATAACCTGTAATAAAAGCGTCATAAAACGAAAAAGTCAGAAACGTCCTTCTTTATTAGCAAAAGTTTTGTTCCTTAGAATAGAAATTCAGGAAAAATTAATTTCCAGGCAGATTTGAAACTTCATTCTGGATTATTTCGCTCACAAGTTTACTAAAATATGGATATGCTTCAATCGCTATTAAAAAATCTCCATGATTGAAATACGGATTTGCGATTATATAATCACCTCTAGGTTTACCTGTGGATAAAATGAAAAGATTTGATTTTAATAAAATCGAAAAAATGAACAAATTTTCGAAGACTTACTGGACAAGGAATTCTTGAGATTTAGATCATTTATTGGAGTTGAAAGTTTATCGTTCAATGAACTTATCAATACTAATTTACTTGCGTTAATGTTTTCAAAAGGATACACAGGAGGCTCAGCAGATCCATAAACTTCGTAATTAATTTCCTCGCCATAATCAAATTGACTGAAGTGATCTCTTTGGATAGCTTGCAGCAACTGGATCAAATTTTTGTTTGAACTTCGATCGAGTAAACTTAAATAAACATCGGCTCTTGATCTATTTAATTGCGGGGAATCGAAACCAAGTATTCCTTCGAAGACTAACTCGCAAACGCCAATGAAAGCTGGCTGCTCACAAAACTCAGCAAGTGAACCATAAGTTATAGCTGAAAGTGGCGGAAAAGGAGCATTGCGCAAACTTAAAACCTTTATCAACAATTCTGTTGGAAGGATGCCAGCAAAGCCAGTTCTGTCACCAAGGAATCCAATTGGCGCAGCTAAAATGACGAGATCGTAGTTCTTTTCAAACTCGGGCATCAAAGAGAGTTGAATAAGCATTTGGGTTGTTCCTTGTGAATGTCCAACAACTATTATCGTCTCTGTAAGTAAATCAATTGATGTTAAAGTAACTTTGGGTGAGCAGAAATTTTCAGCATTCAGTTCAACTTGTTGAAATATTCTGTTCTAATGCCGACAAAAACTCACCTTATCCGTGACAATTAGACCAATCTAGAGAAACCAATTTATTAGCATGTTAAACAGATGTTTGCATTACAACAAAATAAGCTTCAAATATTTTAAAAACTGACCGAAAGACACTGAAAATTTTTAATGAATTGAGTTCTATTCTTCATGCTTACCAAATCCAGTTTCCTTTTTAATTTGTTCAACTGTTGCTGTAACATCGTAAATTGCAATTTCCTCGACAGTGTAATTCCAAAATTCAGGGTCTACGAAGAAGGTAAATTAGTTAATTACAATTAGCTAATTTTATAGCTAAAGATTGTTACCTTTAGGATTAAGATGTGTGTGATTAGTCGAATAAGAGTTTCCTCGAACATTAATCATCCAAACATCGAAACCCAAGTTTGCCAATAAGAATCCAAGAGCAGCTGAAGTGTCTTTTGGTGGATGACCATTCACCCACGGCTTTATGTGTCCACCGGGTGAATTGAACAACCAGGCTGAGCATGTTGTAAATAGTGGATGTAATAACAAGATTGGTTTAAGTTTTTTTCGAGCTTCTCTTGCATATGGATTAATGATGCGGAAATTTTGGAGGATATAACCATCTTCTGTTGTCACATAATAAATTTCGTATTGAAAACCTCGAGATTCTATGAGTTGGTCACAAGTTGCTGCTTCGTCTGGTTCTCTACTTCCAATGAACTGAATAAATGCTTGCTCTTTATCAAGAGTCGGATTAGATGAATCAACTGATATAGAAACTGCTTCGTCAACGGTCAATGCACTGGATTCATGCAAAATTGAAGTGTAAAAAACAATGAAAATCAAAGCGTTCATATCAAAATGGACAATGGAAAGACTTTTTGATTGGAAAAACACTTAGGTTGGAGCTTCAAATCTAAACCTTTATAAATGAATAAAAATAGCTGTTCTGTACAGTCGCTTTACTGATGTCAGAAAATAAATTGACATCAATTTCTGCCCGTGAAGTGTTAACACTTGCACAAATGCATCAACAAACTATGAGTTTTGCTTCAAATTTCAGATGTTTCTGAATCTTTTGCACGAATCACTGAATTAATAGATTCCTTGATGCATGCGTCAATTAATTAACATTAATTATTTTCCATGATTTTATTGGTGTTTTATTCCAACTGGAGCAATTGCAAACTTACATATTTCCGCTTTAGCTAAATCAAGAATCAACAGGCAAGCAGACGAAACAAATGATGGAAACTATTTGAATTTATAAACGTTTCTCACGTCAGTTGAAAACCTTTGAGGAAATATGGTAATGCAAAGCACAATGGTTTGCATGGTGCAATGGCAGGTTAAACTGAATTGGAATGACCTCAATCAGGTGATCTTGTGAATGAATAACAGTATTTGAGCCTTAGATAAACTATTAATCAATGATCAAAAAGCCATTGTTGAGCTAAATGATCTGCATATTAAATGAAATTTCATAACCAAGTTGAACTTAATGAAGAAAAATATAGCCATTTATTTAGTAGTTTATTCAATAATGTAAAGATTGAAACTTTGATAGAAGCAGATTTTTCTATCTAACTTGGAATTAGCAACCTAAGAGTAAACTTGCGTGAAAATTAGTTTCCAGATTCGATGTTTCACAGTTCATCATGGAGCATTTTCTCGTCGATCAATTGACTGACAACATCATTTAAATATGGAAAGGCTTCTTTTGCAAGGACAATGTCAGCATGATTGAAGTACGGATCTGTGATTACATGATCAGTATCGACCCTGTCTGTGGATGAAATGAATTGCATTCGATTATTAATTGATCAAATAAATGGAGTGAATTTCAATGTTCTTACCACAAAGATGATTCCTTAGATTTTGTACATTTATTGGAGTTGCCAATTGATCATTCAATCCACTTACGAATACCAATTTCTTTGGATTTATCTTGTAAAACGGAAACTCAGGAGGTTCAGCAGATCCATAAAGTTCGTAATTCTTTTCCTCGCCATGGTCAAAGTAACAGAGGTGATCGGTTTCAATAAATTGAAGATAATGGAGCAAATTCTTGTTTGAGGTTCGATCGAGTAAGCCTGTATAAACACCATATCTTGATGCATTTTGTTGCTGTGGATTGAGACCAAGTAATCCTCCGAGGATTGCGACACAAGCAGGAGACACAATCGGCTGCCTACAAAGCACATCGAGTGCAGCAAAAACTGAACCTGACACAGGCGGAAAAGGGCCATTGCGCGAACCAAATAATAGTTTAAACAAAGGTATCGGTATTGCACCGACCGTTCCACTTTTATCACCAAGGAATCCAATGGGTGTAATTAATATAACAAGATCGTAGTTCTTGTCATATCCTGGTATTGCTGACATTTGAATGAGCAACTGGATGGTTCCTTGAGAATATCCAATAACGATAATTGTCTCTGTAATTTTGAAATTGATGTTGAAACTCATAATGTACATTTAGATTGGCAGATATTTTCAAGGTTCAATCTTCGCATTGACAAAACTGGCCAATTCATTCAACATGAACCGACATTCGCATAAAACTATCTTTATATTTGCACAAAAGTAGATTCGAACATTTTCAAAACGTTCGAAAGTTGTTGTTGAAAATTGTTTGTTAATTTAGTTCCGATAAAAACTCACCGAATCCAGTTTCCTTTTTGATGTGTTCAACTGTTGCTGTAACATCGTAAATTCCGATTTCGTAGAAACTGTAATCCCAAAACTCAGGATCTGAGAAGAAAGATATTTAATTATACTTCACTAATTTTGTAAGGATTTTTACCTTCAGGATCAAGATGTGTGTGATTAGTTGAATAAGATGTTCCTCGAACATTAATAATCCAAACATCATAACCCAAGTTAGCCAACAAGAAAGCAAGTTCAGCGGAATTATCTTTTGGTGGATGACCATTAATCCACGGCTTTATATGTCCACCAGGTGAATTGAACATCCATACTGAACACGATCCGAATAGTGGATGTAATAACAAGATTGGTTTGAGTTTTTTTCCAGATTCTCTGGCATAACGATTGATGATACGAAAATTTTGGAGGATATAACCATCTTTTGTTGTCACATAATGAACCTCGTATTCAAACCCTCGAGACTCAATCAGTTGTCCACAAGTTTTCACTTCATCTGGGTCGGTCTTACCAGCCAACTGAAGAAATATTTTTTCTTCGTCAATGGTAGGATTATTTTCTGCCATTGATCCAAAGTCTTCATCATCGGTTAACCCATAAGATTCATGGGCAAAGGAAACATAGAAAACGATGAAAACTAAAAACTTCACCATTTCAGCAATATTAATAAGAATAATTCAGCAACACTTTTTGATGCTTTAACTTAGTTTCACCTTAATCAAACATAAACGAAACTGAGTAGCTATTTCTTGTCACTTCATTGTTTTCGTAACTACTTTTATTTGAACAGCAAACTTTCAAGACATTTTAAGCCTACGAAATGCGAAATATTTACACCAACTCATGATTAAATTAAATTTTGTTTCATTAAATTTTCCATGTTCAGCTGTTTTAGTTATTTGTTTATGCATAAATGAATTGAATAAACCATTTATTTTCTGATCAATTTGTTTCTCTTTTATTCCAATGGAAGCAATAATTTATAACGATTTACATCAATGTTAAACATTAAAAAACAACGTTATTATACTTTTAAAGGTAAATGTGTATTCAAAATATCGTCAACGACACTTACAAAGTATTTATAACAGTCAACAGCAGTAGTAAAATCAAGATGATTCCACGAAGGAAAAGTTATTACATGATCAACCAAAGGTTTACCTGTAATAGATGGAGTAAACAATTAATCAAAAGCGAGAATCAGATGAACAAATTGACGTCTCCAATACATTTATCATGAACTCACCCTTCAATTTGTGCCTCAGCTTTTCAATGCCAACCGGTGTAGATAAATAATCATTTAACCCACTAATCAAAACTAAATTGTCGGTGGGTATATTTTCGAAGGGAATTCGAGGTGGTTCTCGTTTGCCATATCGTACTAAGTTTTCAACCATTCCATAGTCGTAAAGACGAGCTTGATCATAGTTCATGGTTTGTAAAAAGTGAAGTAAATCTTTGATTGAAGTTTTGTCTATTTGACTCAAGTAAACGGGTATTCGAGTATAGTTGAGCTGACCATCATCAGGACCCAATGCAAGACCCATCAGGTTACTGCACAAGTGATAGTTAGATGGTGAACTGCAAAGTACGGTTAGAATAGAGTCAAATGTTGCTAGTCGAGGTGGTAAGGAAAGTCGATTCAATATGTGCAATGGACGATAGAATATGGCCTCGCGAGGAAACAAAGTCACAAGTCCTTTGGTATTTCCAAGGTAAGCAATTGGAGCAGCCATTATGACCAGATCGTAATTTTGTGAATAAGATGGATCAAGCGATAGTTTAATAAAGGTTTGAAGAGTTCCTCGAGAATAGCCAAGAAGAACAATTTTTTCTGTCATAATCCGAATTAGATACGAGTTTGGACAAAAGAGTTAGATTATTTTATTCTAAATTACTTTCAATTGAAACGATATTTTGTTTCTTTGCTTTTGATCTAAATGCATTGGCAAAAAAAATTGCAACCCGAAAAGTGTTTTCCAGTTGCAGATTTGCTGATCTGAAAGCGACTCACCATAACCAGTGACTTTCTTGATGTATTCAGTTGTTGCAGGCAAATCGTAAATTCCCATTTCATAGAATGAAAAGTCCCAAAATTTCGAATCTAATAGTTGAATTTGAATGAGAACAGATATGTTAAAAATGTTTTAACCAGTTCAGATTAGCGATTATGAATATTTAAATACCTGATCTTGTATCGTATTCGGTGTGATTTCTAGAGTAAGAAGTTCCTCTGTTGTTCAACAACCAAACATCATAACCTTTATTGGCCAAATGAAAAGCCAAACTGTTTGATCTATCGTCAGGCGGACTTGTGCTATTCCAAGGTAAAATGTTGCCATCGGGTGAATTCATTAACCAAATTGAAGCAGAATAAAAAAGTCCATGGATCAATAGGATAGGCTTGAGTCGACCATTCAATGCTTGCTTAGCGTACTTGCTCCACAAGCGATAGTTTTTCAAGATGTAACCATCTTCAGTTGTAACGAAGTGAACCTCATAATCAAAACCGCGAGAAGCGATAAACTGGCCACAAGTTAAAGCAACATCACCAGACTGCTCAAAAGGCTCTAATAGTAATTGTTGTCGAGCAAATACTTGGTTCTCAGGTTGGGCTTCAAGAGCAGTTTCACGTCCAATCAACTTGACTAAAGTTGAATTGGTTAACAAAACTAATTGAATTGCTAGTAAAACTACTGCCGAATGTATCCAGTAATTCATTTTGATTAGGACTAATTGCAATTGTTACAATTAACCTATTATATAAAAACATTCGCATCTTCATAATTATCTCGTTTGTACCCAAAGTTGATGTGATTTAGCCAACTTAAGCACAAATATGAAATTAACAGCATTTTAGTGTAGCAAAATTAATTGTTTTATTGTAACGATTTGGCTCAACAGATGCTCATTTTAGGTTCTCAATCATTTTACCAATAAATCATTTCTTTGCAGACTAAAATGGTTGCAAATCGTTTATTTGTCTCAAGTTTAATATGCAAATCAATCGAATGTACCCTAATGCAGCATAATGTACCACATCTAAATTTTTTCGATTCGAAATAAAACAATAATTGGATTTGTAAAGCGCAAGATTAGTTGAAATTTTGAAAAAAACGGAATACTGTGAAGCTAACAATGATCAATTGTATCAAATAATTCATTGACAGTTGCAAATGACATCTTTTTTCATCTTCAGGTGAGTTTTGGGACTCTCCATGATGAGCAAATTAGTGACAAAATTTGACATTGAAATATTCATGTCAATGAAAAAGTAAATTCAAATTTTTCAAGTTTCGCATTCTTCGTCAACACATTTAGCCTCAACTTGACAAGTAATGTGATCTATTGTTTTGCACTTTCTTCTTGTCTTTCTACCGATTTTAATCTTACATCAAAAGACGCAAAGTTTTCAAGTTTTAATGCAATGAAGAAGGAATAAACTCTCGCTCTTTTGCTCAATATTCACCGGGAAAGCCCTAGATTTTCCCTGATGGTTAACAATACGCCAATTAAGAAGACAATATTCGAAAGACACACGCAAACTCATTCTCCAGCGCTGATGATGTTTTTGTTGTAGACAGAAGTTTAAAAATCAAAAGGCCAAAATTGAATCAAGTTATTTGCATATTAAATAAAATTTCCTTGCCCTTAATAATTAAAAGTTTGTCTTTATTTGCAGATTGGAACTTCGAATGAAACATATATTTTACTATCTTTGTAATTACCAACCAAACTTGAAATCAGTTTCCAGATTTGATGTTTTACAGTTCATCATGAAGCATTTTCTCTTCGATTAATCGGCTGACAACATCATTTACATATGGAAAGGCGTCTTTTGCAATGACAATGTCTCCATGATTGAAATACGGGTCTGTGATGACATGATCAGTATCAACCCTGTCTGTGGATGAAATGAAAAGATATTATTATTAGACCAAAAAAATGACTTGAATTTCATGATTCTTACCACAAAGACTATTCCTAAGATTTTGTACATTTATTGGAGTTGCCAATTGATCATTCAATCCACTTATGAATACCAATTTCTTTGGATTAATCTTGTGAAACGGAAACTCAGGAGGTTCAGCAGATCCATAAAGTTCGTAGTTCTTGTCCTCTCCATAATCAAAGTAACGAAGGTGATCGCTTTCAATAAATTGAAGAAAATGGAGCAAATTCTTGTTTGAGGTTCGATCAAGTAAGCCTGCATAAACATAGATTCTTGATGCATTTAGTTGCTGCGAATCAAAACCAAATATTCCACCGAGGAGTGAGGTACAAATAGGAGTTAGAATCGGCTTCTCACAAAGCACATCAAGAGCGGCAAAAGCTAATTCTGACATTGGCGGAAAAGGGCCATTATGCGAACTAAAATATTGTTTAAACAAAGGAATTGGTATTGCGCCGACCGTTCCACTTTTATCACCAAGGAATCCAATGGGTTCAAGTAATATAACAAGATCGTAGTTCTTGTCATATCCTGGTATTGCTGACATTTGAATAAGCAACTGGATTGTTCCTTGAGAAAATCCAACAACGATAATTGTCTCTGTAAATTGATAAATAATTGATGTTAAAACTCATAATGTACATTGAGATGGGCAGATATTTGCAATAATCGGTTTAGATTTTATATTTATACCGTTCAAATGCTTGCTCAGGAAAAATTTAAGGAAAATGCTGACTTTCGCATAAAACTACCTAATAATTTGCAAGAGGTTTAAATGTTTAAAATTGTTACTGAAAATTGTTTATAATTTAGTTGCGAGAAAAACTCACCAAATCCAGTTTCCTTTTTGATGTATTCAACTGTTGCTGTAACATCGTAAATTCCGATTTCGTAGAAACTGTAATCCCAAAATTGAGGATCTGAGAAGAAAGGTTTAAAGAGTTATATTGAACTAACTTTATAGCCAAAGATTGTTACCTTCAGGGTCAAGGTGCGTGTGATTAGTTGAATAAGATGTTCCCCGAACATTAATCAACCAAACATCGAAACCCAAGTTAGCCAACAAGAAAGCAAGTTCAGCTGAAGTGTCATTTGGTGAATGACCATTTATCCATGGCTTTATGTGTCCACCGGGTGAATTGAACATCCAGGCGGAACATGATGTAAATAGTGCATGCAATAACAAAACGGGTTTAAGATTTTTTCGAGATTCTCTGGCATAACGATTGATGATGCGGAAATTTTGGAGGATATAACCATCTTCTGTTGTCACATAATGAACCTCGTATTCAAACCCTCGAGACTCAATCAGTTGTCCACAAGTCGCTGCTTCATCTGGATCTTTACTTCCGAAAAGCTTAATAAATGCTTGTTCTTCAGCAAGAGTAGGGTTAGTTGATGCAACTGATCCAGAATTTTCATCGACAATTAATCCATAAGATGCATGAACAATGCAAAAGTAGAAGACGATGAAAACGAAACGCTCTACCATTTCAGTATTTAAAAAATATAATAGAATAGCAAATCTTTCGATACTTTAACTGACACTTTCAGCCTTTTATAAGCGACTGAATAATGATTACTGGCTCTTTCACCGCTCCTCTAACTACTTTTTACTTGAATAATAAACTTGCTCAAAATTATTTACCTATGAAATTCAAAATATTTGTACAAACTCATTTAATTTAATTTTGTTTACTTCACGTTTTTTGTGTCTAACAGTTTTATGCTATTTGTTTATGCATAAATGAATTGAATAAACCATTTATTTTCTGATCAATTTGTCTCTCTTTTATTCCAATGGAAGTAATAATTTATAATGATTTACATCAATGTTCAAAATTAAAAACAATGAATGTTATTATACTTTTAAAGGTAAATATGTATTCAAAATATCATCGACGACACTTACAAAGTATTTATAACAGTCAACAGCAGTAGTAAAATCAAGATGATTCCACGAAGGAGAAGTTATTACATGATCAACCAAAGGTTTACCTGTAATAGATGGAGTAAACAATTAATCAAAAGCGAAAATCAGATGAACAAACTGACGTCTCCAATACAATTTATTATGAACTCACCCTTCAATTTGTGCCTCAGCTTTTCAATGCCAACCGGTGTAGACAAATAATCATTTAACCCACTAATCAAAACTAAATTGTCGGTGGGTATGTTTTCGAAGGGAATTAAGGTGCTTCTTGTTTGCCATATCGTACTAAGTTTTCAACCATTCCATAGTCGTAGAGACGAACTTGATCATAGTTCATGGTTTGTAAAAAGTGAAGTAAATCTTTTATTGAAGTTTTGTCTATTTGACTCAAATAAACGGGAATTCGAGTAAAGTTGAGCTGAGCATCATCAGGACTTAATGCAAGACCCTTCAGATTGCTGCACAAGTGATAGGATAGAGTCAAATGTTGCTAGTAAATATGAAAGGAAAGGAAAGTCGATTCAATATGTGCAATGGACGATAAAATATGGCTTCGCGAGGAAACAAAGTCACAAGTCCTTTGGTATTTACAAGGTAAGCAATTGGAGCAGCCATTATGACCAAATCGTAATTTTGTGAATAAGATGGATCAAGCGATAGTTTAATAAAGGTTTGAAGAGTTCCAATAAGAACAAGTTTTGTTGCCATAATCGGATTTCAATACGAGTTTGGAAAAAAGAGTCAGATTATTGTATTCTAAATTAGTTTCAACTGGTCTTTTGTTTATTCACCTCAGATCTGCATGCGTTTGAAAATAAAATTGCAACCCAAAGAGTGTTTAGCGTTTTCCAGATTTTCTGATCTGAAATTGATTCACCATAACCAGTGACTTTCTTGATGTATTCAGTTGTTGCAGGCAAACATGCCCATTTCAGTAATATCCGTAAGAATGTTAGAATAATGTTTTATATAAATTATGTATTAAAATATCATCAACAACATCAACAAAGTATTTATAACAATCAACAGCAGTAGTAAAATACCGTAGATGTTGGAGTATTTAATGCTTTCCAGTTGCAAACTTGCTGAACATAAATTAACTTACTAACAACTTTGGCCATGAAAAGTGTTGCGATCTTTTCTTTTGCATTCACTTCTTGTCTTACTACCGATTTTAATCTTACATCAGAAGACGCAAAGTTTCTATTAATAAATTAAGTGATAAACAGTACTTGTCATTTAAAAAATATTAATCATAGTCAAATGTTAAAATTAAAGTTAATTATTTGTAAATTAAATAGAATTCGCAATTCAAATTAACTTAATGATAAGAAATATGGTCTTTTATTCAATACCAGGTTGAAACTTTGTGATCAACAGAAACTTAGAGAAACTTGAGTATCAATCAGTTTCCAGACAGATTGATTTTTCACAGTTCATCATGAAGCATTTTCTCTTCGATTGACCGAACCACAATATCATTGAACAATGGAAAGGCGTCTTTTGCAATGACAATGTCACCATGATTGAAATACGGGTCTGTGATGACATGATCAGTGTCAACCCTGTCTGTGGATGAAATGAAAAGATTTTATTATTAGACCAAATAAATGACTTGAATTTCATGATTCTTACCACAAAGACTATTCCTAAGATTTTGTACATTTATTGGAGTTGTCACTTGATCATTCAATCCACTTATAAATACCAATTTGTTTGGATTTATCTTGTAAAACGGAAACTCAGGAGGTTCAGCAGATCCATAAAGTTCGTAGTTCTTGTCCTCTCCATAATCAAAGTAACGAAGGTGATTGCTTTCAATAAATTGAAGAATGTGAAGTCCATTTTTGTTTGAGCTTCGGTCAATTTGACTGGTATAAACAAAAGTTCTTGATACATTTAGTTGCTGTGTATTGAAACCAAATATTCCTCCGAGGACGTTGACACAAATTGGAGTTAGAATCGGCCTCTCACACAACACAGCAAACGAACCAAAAGTTATGGCTGACATAGGCGGAAAAGGGCCATTGCGCAAACTAAGTAATTGTCTCAACAAAGGTATCGGTATTGCACCAACCAATCCACTTTTATCACCTAGGAATCCAATGGGTGTAATTAATATAACAAGATCGTAGTTCTTGTCATATCCTGGTATTGCTGACATTTGAATAAGCAACTGGATTGTTCCTTGGGAAAATCCGATGACGATAATTGTCTCTGTAAATTGATTAATGTTAAAATTTATGTGTAGATTTAAGGTAACCGTTATAAGTAAGTTATGAGCTACAAAGTTAGTCATCGATAATTTTTCAGACACTGTCCGACAATAGCTAAACATATTGTCGCTGAAAATTGTTTATAATTTAGTTGCGAGAAAAACTCACCAAATCCAGTTTCCTTTTTGATGTATTCAACTGTTGCTGTAACATCGTAAATTCCGATTTCGTAGAAACTGTAATCCCAAAATTGAGGATCTGAGAAGGAAGATTGAAAGAGTTATATTGAACTAACTTTATAGCCAAAGATTGTTACCTTCAGGGTCAAGGTGCGTGTGATTAGTTGAATAAGATGTTCCCCGAACATTTATCAACCAAACATCATAGCCCAAGTTGGCTAATAAGAATCCAAGTTCAGCTGAAGTGTCATTCGGTGGATGACCATTTATCCATGGCTTTATGTGTCCGCCTGGTGAATTGACTAGCCAGGCTGAGCATGATGTCGCAAACGCATGTAATAACAAGATTGGTTTAAGTTTTTTTCCAGATTCTCTTGTATAACGATTGATGATACGGAAATTTTGGAGAATATAACCATCTTCTGTTGTCACATAATGAACCTCGTACTCAAACCCTCGAGACTCAATCAGTTGTCCACAAGTCGCTGCTTCATCTGGATCTTTACTTCCGAAAAGCTTAATAAATGCTTGTTCTTCAGCAAGAGTAGGGTTAGTTGATGCAACTGATCCAGAATCCTCATCAATAGATAGTCCATAAGATGCATTAACAGTGAAAATAGAGAAGGCGATGAAAACTAGAAATTGTGCCATTTCAGTAACAAAAATAATATAATAGCAACACTTTTGATACTTTAACTGAGTTCTAACTTTCAATGTAACAATTTATAAGCAAAACTGGATAACTTTTTTTGGCCCTTGCACCGTTCCCCTAACTACTTTTCATTTGAACAGTGAACTTGCACGAAATTATTTGCCTATGAAATAAAAAATATTTGTACAAACTCATATTATAATTTAATTTTGTTTGCTTCACTTTTGCTGTATCTAACAGTTCTATGCTATTTGTTTATGCATAAATGAGTTGCATAACATTTTTCATTGCATCTATTTAGTTGCCGCTCTATTCAACACCATAAATTTATAACAACTTACAAAAATGTGTTGTATTAAAAACAATATAAATAATATATTACTTTTAAAGGTATAAATACAAGGTATGTATAATAAATATGTATTCAAAATATAATATAATCAACTTACAAAGTATTTATAACAATCAACAGCAGTAACTATCAAGATGATTTTCTGAAGACGAAGTTATTACATGATCAAATAAAGATTTACCTTTAATAGATGGAATAATCAATTAATCAAATTAGAAAATCAGATGAACAAACTATCGTCTTTTCCTCCTCGAGCAAATCCAGTTTGACATGAACTCATCCTTCACTTCGTGCCGCAGCTTTTCAATGCATCTAAATTATTTTCAATCGAACTGATCATGATTTAATTGGAAAACAAAATAGCAATCTCGTGAATGTTGGAGTATTTAATGCTTTCCAGTTGCCCACTTGCTGACCTAAAATCCACTCACCATAACCAATGACTTTATATTTAGTTGTTGCAAATCGTGCATTCCCATCTCATAAAATGAAAAGTTAATAATAATAATTGCAGTAATTCATTGACAGTGACCAATGATATCTTCATCAAATGACATATTTTTTCATATTCAGGTGAATTATGGGACTCGATATGATGACACATTAGTGACAAAATTGGGCATTGAAATATTCAATTCAATACAGCAGCATATTCAAACAACTGTACAAAAGGCGATCGAAATTTCGACTTTGACCTCGATTTTCTCGAAAACTGACGATCTAAGAAAATTTTTAATAGCACTAATCAGCTCAATTTTTGTGCGCCTGCAAACCCTCAAGTCCCTGCTCTTAACTCAATATTAAATTCAAATTTTTCAAGTTTTGCATTCTTCGTCAACGTATTCAGCCTCAAAATGGAAAGCTTGTTCCATGAAAAGATATGTGATCTATTGTTTTGCATTCACTTCTTGTCTTTCTACCGATTTTAAAGTTATAATAATAATCGTAATAATTGCTAATCAAAGTTCCCTTATTTGTTCTGATCAACCTAATATTTACATTGTTTACATTTTGATATTTTTTATATGAATCTGACCCGATTTATCCGTCCCATTCGATATAAGCTTTTCTGACTATGCAGGTACAAACCAGAGCCAAGCTTGATTTCATTACATTTCTGTACCTTGGTTTCTCACGAATCTTGCAACTGGCAGAACTTCCGCTATCATTCCTAAAGTTTCTTCAACGTGCGTTTGGAATCTGATTTAGTCCTTAATCTTACAATCTTTGAGCTTCTCATTTCACCTTTATCATAAACTTCATCTAAATTACCGGGTTACAAATAATCATATGAAACGTTTTCAAAATAGAATTACATTTCAGGTTTTGATTTTTTGATTAGATTTTTTTCATAAAGTGAAAATTTAGTTTTTTGTCTCTCATTTGGTTCTACAATCGTAGTTTTGGGACACACAGATAGCGAACAGATCGATTTTTAAAAAAAGTCATGAAAATAATTTTGTGAATCCTATGGAAAGATTAACATTGAGCAATCAAGTTTTTCCAATCTCCCATAGACGCGCCATGTTAAACTCTCAAAAATAATTTTCATCGACTTTTTTTAAAAATCGATCTGTGCGCTATCTGTGTGACTCAAAACTACGATTGTAGTACCAAATGAAAGACAAAAAACTGAATTTTTCCTTTATGAAAAAAATCTAATCAAAAAATCAAAACCTAAAATGTTATTCTATTTTGAAAACGTTTCATATGATTATTTGTAACCCGGTAAATGATAAACAGTACTTGTCCGTTAAATAAATATTAATCAATAGTTGAAAAGTCAATATTGAAGTTAAAAATTTGCATATTAAATAAAATTTACAATCCAAGTCGACCTTAATAAAGAAAAATATTGTCTTTTATTCAATACCAGGATTGAAACTTTGCTATAAACAGATAACTAAAAATTTAAAAGATTAGAGAAACTTGAGTATCAATCAATTTTCATATTTGATCTTTCACAGTTCATCATGAAGTATTTTCTCTTCGATTGACCGAACCACAATATCATTTATATATGGAAAGGCGTCTTTTGCAATGACAATGTCTCCATGATTGAAATACGGATCTGTGATGACATGATCAGTGTCAACCCTGTCTGTGGATGAAATGAAAAGATATTATTATTAGACCAAATATTAATATAATAAATGACTTGAATTTCATGATTCTTACCACAAAGACTATTCCTTAGATTTTGTACATTTATTGGAGTTGCCAATTGATCATTCAATCCACTTATAAATACCAATTTCTTTGGATTCATCTTGTAAAATGGAAACTCAGGAGGCTCGGCAGATCCATAAAGTTCATAGTTTTTGTCCTCCCCATAATCAAAGTAACGAAGGTGATCGGTTTCAATGAATTGAAGATAATGGAGTAAATTTTTGTTTGAGGTTCGATCCAGTAAGCTTGCATAAACATAGGTTCTTGATACATTCATTTGCTGTGGATCAAATCCTAATAATCCTCCTGAGATCGAGATACAAACTGGCGTTAGAAGCGGCCTCTCACATAACGCAGCAAGTGAACCAGCAGTTATTGCTGACATGGGCGGAACAGGACCATTGCGCAAACTAAATAACTGTCTCAACAAAGGTATCGGTAAGGCACCGACTGTTCCACTTTTATCACCAAGGAATCCAATGGGTGTAATTAATATAACAAGATCGTAGTTCTTGTCATATCCTGGTATTGCTGACATTTGAATGAGCAACTGGATTGTTCCTTGAGAATATCCAACAATTATAATTGTCTCTGTAGATTGAAAATTGATTAATGTTAAAGTTTATAATGTACATTTAAGGTATAAGCTACGAAGTTTGTCATCGATAGTTTTTCAGACACTGTAGCTAGACATATTGTCACTGAAAATTGTTTATTAATTTAACCTATGCGAGTATAGTACCTAAAGTTTTTCCGCATAGGTTAGTTGCGAGAAAAACTCACCAAATCCAGTTTCCTTTTTGATGTATTCAACTGTTGCTGTAACATCGTAAATTCCAATTTCGTAGAAACTGTAATCCCAAAATTCAGGATCTAAGAAGAAATATTGAAAGAGTTATATTGAACTAATTTCATAGTCAACATTTGTTACCTTTAGGATTGAGATGTGTGTGATTAGTTGAATAAGATGTTCCTCTAACATTAATCATCCAAACATCATAGCCCAAGTTGGCCAACAAGAAAGCAAGCTCAGCTGAATTGTCTTCTGGTGGATGACCATTTATCCATGGCTTTATGTGTCCACCAGGTGAATTGAACATCCAGACTGAACACGATCCGAATAGTGGATGTAATAACAAGATTGGTTTGAGTTTTTTTCCAGATTCTCTTGCATAACGATTAATGATTCGGAAATTTTGAAGGATATAACCATCTTCTGTTGTCACATAATGAGCCTCGTATTCAAACCCTCGAGATTCTATGAGTTGTCCACAAGTTGCTGCTTCATCTGGACCCGTCTTACCAGTCAACTGAATAAATTCTTGTTCTTCAGCAAGAGTAGGATTAGTTGATGCAACTGATACAGAATTTTCATCGACAATTAATCCATAAGATGCATTAACAAGTAAAATGCAGAAGAAGGCGATGAAAACTAGAAATTGTGCCATTTCAGTCTTAAAAATAATATAATAGCAACACTTTTGATACTTTAACTGAGTTTCAATTTATGAAACAATATATAAGCGAAACTGGATAACGGTTTTCGGTCCTTTCATCGTTCCACTAACTACTTTTCATCTGGATAATAAACTTGCACGAAATTATTTGCCTTTGAAATGCAAAATATTTGTACAAACTTATATTAGAATTAAATTTTGTTTACTTCACTTTTTCTGTAACTAACAGTTTTATGCTATTTGTTTATGCATAAATGAGTTGAATAACATTTTTTATTTCCTGATCTATTTAGTTGCCGATCGATTCAACTGCAATAATTTATAGCAATTAACAATAATGTGTTGTATACAAAACAATATACTGTATAATTACTGTATAATTTTAAAGGTAAATATGTATTCATCATCAACGTCACTTACAAAGTATTTATAACAACCAACAGCAGAAGTAAAATAAAGATGATTTCAAGACGCAAAAGTTATTACACGCGCAACCAAAGATTTACCTGTAATAGATGGAATAAACAATCAATCAAATTTGAGGATCAGATGAGCAAACTGTCGTCTCTCCCTCCTCGAGCGAATGCAGTTTTTCACCCCTCAATTTTTGCAGCTGCTTTTCAATGCCAATCAATGATACTTTCTTATTGAACTGATCATTTTTTCATTGCTTTGGAATCAAATTCATTGGAAAACAAAATTGCAATCCCGTGAATTTCGGAGCATTTAATGCTTTCCAGTTGCCCACTTGCTGACCCACCATAACTGAAATTGACTCACCATAACAAGAGACTTTCTTGACGTACTCAGTTGTTGCAAAGTGTGCATTCTCATCTCATAAAATGAAAAGTCAAAAATGATAATAGTAGTAATTCATTGACAGTGATCAAATCTTTTTTAATATTCAGGTCAATTCTGGGACTCGACATTAGTGACAAAATTGGACATTGAAATATCCAATTCAATACAGAACTGATGCTTTCGAGTTTTTAATGTTTGATTTATTTTGGTCCAATGCAATAGAGACAGGTTGAGACCGTTTTTTCGAGGCTGTTTCAATGGAACTACTGCATCAATATCTGTAAGTTTTGCATTCTTGATCAACATAGTTAATCTCAAAATGAAAAGCTTTTGCCAGGAAAAGTAATGTGATCTATTCTTTCGTCTTTCTACCGATTTCAATCTTACATCAAAAGACGCAGAGTTTTTCATAGCCCAGATAAAGTTTGAATGCAATGCAAAAGCGGATTAAAATCTCGCTCTTTGCCCAATATTCACTGGGAAAGCCGCTTGTAGCAGCTAATAATG